CTTTGCTGTGCCACTTTATAGTCACGCAGTCGAACACCGTGAACTGAACACTTAAGTGAGAAGGTCAACAGTTTTCTTGCTGTTTTCGCGCGCCTATGTACCTCGACCACTGAAGCAGCGATCGAAAACGCTCCTTTTTCGACCGTGTAGTTGCTATATTACAGAAGTTTTCTACCTAACGATAGTACATAAGAAGGAACGATAACAGTAGTTCTTGATTCTATGCATGAAACAAATGGCAAGAGCTAGGCAAGTCTTGCTTCAAAACATGACCCCGCAGCTAGCTGAAGTAAGCTCCTTTTCATCAGATCCGTTGCAATCTAGGCATTATATATTCATGTGTCTGTTGCTTAATCGAAACTCTTAATAGCTCTACTATACCCTCTAACATTGATGGCGTTTATAAGACGTCATTTTAAACATAAGTATCACATTGAACATCTATTTTCTAACTTTGTTTTGCAAGCATTCGAAGACATGGTTAGTGTTAAACGATGGTACCTTGGTCGGCAGCTGACTTACTATCTTGTTCAAGAAGCAAGAGTTTCTGCAGTTTAGCCCTCCCACGCACGCCTAACTTTGAACTGTCTGGCTGTCATTGAGCATTTGTATAATTATATTATATATCGTTTATATAATTGAGCCAGCTCAAAGGCGTTAGCCAGTGGTTGGTGCCCTACGTTTCCAGAATCTCATTTCGGTGAGGTCGCAGGTTTGATTCCTCACTCGGACATAATTCTTGCCTGCGATTCCAGCAGGCTTACCCTCAGGGTGCGCGACAAGCCGGCTGAGAAACACCCGTTGCATCAAAAATAAGTTAATGTCCGATAAAGTATATCGAGTAAAAGCTAGGGCGTGCCCCGGAAGCGACGCGTTCTCAAGCCCGACGGGTACGAGTAGTGGGCTAGGCCACCGTCTTACAAAGAGCGGAGACGGGTAAAAAAGCTAGCTTTTCAAAGGCAACTATCCGAAATTCAGAAGCACTCCGATTAGCTACCGTCAATGTCGGAACCCTCACTGGGCGACATTGAGAATTGGCGGATCTCCTGAGAAGACGACGATTGAATATAGCCTTCGTACAGGAAACAAAGTGAAGGGGTGGAAAATCAGATATCGGAGATGACTATAAACTTCTCAATAATGACACAAGCAGCAGTCGCAGTGGCGTGGGTATAGCTGTTTCTGAAAGTCTAAGAAGCAGGATTGCCGCAGTTGACCGATTAAGTGATCGACGTGTGAGCATAAAAATTGACTTTGGTAAAAAAAAATCCATCGAAATGTCACCGCCTACGTTGAACGGATGCAAGAGGAAGAAAAGAATATGTTCTGGCAGGAGCTTGATGATCCATAACACAAGATGAGATACTCCTGCTCGGAGCAGACCTAAGCGGTCATGTAGGGTAGAAAAGAAATGGTGCGGGAAAGCACCACGGGAACCACGGATACGGCATGCAATGAAGAAGGCGAACGCATCCTCGAGTTTGCCACAGCGTTCAACCTGGCATTAGTCAACATGTACTACATCAAAAAGCATGAACACCTGATTACGTATTCAAGTGGAGGCCGTCTAACACAAATTGACTACTGGGCAGTGCGCTACAATAATTTAAAGAACATAAAGGATTGCAAAGTTATCCCAGGTGAAAGCTATAGCTCAGCATAAGTCACTACTTCTAGACCTAAAAATTCCGGTTAAACGACAAAGAGAACCCGACTAACAAAAAAGCACGAATCAAATGGTAGAAATTGGAAGGGAACTCTCTGACCAAAGAAGCTCCGGTAAGTACTCTACCAACCTTACATGAGAAACCAGAACAGTTATGGTCAACCTTGAAGTGTAACGTGCATCGGGTAGCAAGGAGTTTACTGGGTCACACGAAGCCAGGAAGAAGAAGAGTCGAAAAAGAAACTTGGTGGTGGAACGATGAGGTTCAAACGGTATTAAGGAAAAAGGTCAAGCACACAAGCAATGGCATAAGTTGAAA